AAACCGACAAAAGTAAAATTAACATAATAAACCCTGAGCTTATTTGAAAGCTGCTCTTCGCACCCTATATCTTTTTTATATTTTTACAGCGTGACGCTCAATGCAAAACTGCAATTTGTCAACCCCTCGAAATCTAATCGAACCACGCCCGCCACAGACACACATTTAGTGCCTTATTGTAGAGCTAATGGTTCAACAAATAGGGTGGTGTAACGCAAAGAGGCAAGGTTACACCCCCTCAAGTCGTAAATTTAAATTATTGCTCCTCTAGGGATATGCAACTGGAATCTCGATTAATTTTTTGTGAGACGGTTGAAACCAGAGGCTGGTCTGGTCGACTGCGGCATTAAATTTTCACTGATTAATAAATTAAACACATTAGCTTCTTCCTGCTTTCATGATACATAAATCCTCTGCAAAAATTAAGGATTGTAACAATTAAATTTAACGAAAGCGAGCAACCAAACTTTTAAACTTTAACTTTAACTTAAAAATATATGAATTATCAAAATTTCTAGTAACGTTGATGAGACTGTGCCCCATTCTGAATTGAGCACCTGAACAGTCTGTTAATTTTGTGCTCTCCAAGCAATTGTTTGTCCAGTCTGGACTAAATTGTCTGCACTGATCATAGTTATACTCTAAACTCAATAAATATTAAACGAGAACCCATAGTTTAATTTTTTTCTCCAAATCCAGCTACTCCACGTTTAATCTAAAATCAATCAAGGAATAATTTTAAAGTAAAAAAGTTACAGGTTACCACGGAAAAACCTGCTCTTGATTTTGCAATTCTTTTTAAATTTTACATTCAGAACCAATTGAATTTAGCGTTTAAAAGTTCAATAACCACGTGCCTGGAAGAAGATTTTACCTGCATACTTTGCCGAAAATTTTTACTTATTTGGATACGGGCTATTTTACTTAATTTGCTTTATTTTTAACTCAACACAGTGTTACCCATGCCAACACCGGGCTACACTTTATATTTTTGTCTCCAATTTGCATCAATTAGGTAGCTTGAGGCATATTACATGTGCTAACAATTCTTCGGGTACTTTTTCAATATCACCTATTAACATTCTGTTGAGAACTTTTGGTGTTTTTTATTACACAGAAACCCCTTGGAAAAAGTCCAGTGATTAGGTATGCACCTGTTTAAAAAAGGCCACCCATAGCATACAGCATATCTGCCCATTCTTCATAACTCAAACGTTGAGGTGTATCACTTTAAAGTTTCCTTAGAAAATATGTTATGCCGACGTCAAATCTGAATCAACATAACTATATTTCATAGATCATGGATCCATCTAATGAATTTATTTTACGGAGCTTATGATAATTACAATATCCTCTGCTGCAATATAAAACGGAACATTTTTATTGAAAGGTGCATGGAAAATTTGAACGAACTGAAAGCAGATTGTTTGCCACTGAATATTTAATGAGTCTCCGAAAAATGTATTTCCTCATGTTCAGACAATATCCGGAAACGACACACTAAGCCAGCTACAATAAATATAATAACATACACACACATATTATTCCCTTGCTTCTTATGCTCTATGCTCCCTAAGCATATTTCCCATTTTTCAAGTCCTCACGACTTTGTTATATTTATAGGAGACATTTCCCCTCTTGAGATCAAGCGTCTGTATTCTGCACCGGAAAGGGGCTCCATTTATGTGCTGGAAACTTGGCAAAACTTCATGCTGCCAATTCATTTCTACCTGCAGATTTATGACTGCCGATTTAATTGAATATTACTTTGCAACCTTTATGCAACCTTAATTTAAACATGGTATAAAAATAGATCAAACATACCCACCTTAACAAACTGACTATTTATTTGACGAGATTACTTTAAACACGGTGAATATTAGTTAATATAAGTTAGGAGGTAAAGTTTCTCGAATCCTACTCTGATTTATGGTTACATACGGATACATGATAAATACACATTTAAGACAATTTTCTCACATTTTACCATTACATGGAAAAAGGTTAATATTTATCGCAATGTGCCCTATATATATTTAAATGTTATCAGCTTATAAAGTAAATCCAGCTGGGATAAATTAATTTTAAACATACCATTACAAATTTCCGCTAAAAGCATGGCGAAATCGATTACACCATTAAAAGGCAATCTTCTATAGCAAGCTCAGTACGTAACAAGTTAAAATAGGGAAAAGACAAACTAAATTCGCTTCAAGCGGCGAGTCGTTGGCCGTTTTGCAGCTACAAAGTTTCTATTAAAGTTTTACTTTGGCGCCACGAAGTTCTGAAGCTTATTCCGCTATTTTGCGCTCACAGTATTTAATATTAATGGCAGTAATATAACGATAACTACGAATATTGTTCCTTTTCTAAAAGAATGGTATTTGAAAAGTCAACAGTAATTTAATTAGCAATTTTATAATTTAATATTGGCTTTTAAACGTGTCAGACAAATATGTTAATCTACAAATCAGAAGAAAGTAATAAATGTATAACACTAATTAATATTTCTTAATTAACAATATAGATGTTGAAAAATGTGATATTAAACATAAAAAATGAAAATCTGAAGTGAAAGTTTGCTTGTATGTGTGTGTGTGTGTGTAAAAATGTTCAGTTTATTAGATGTAGAAGCACGTGGATATGCCGTGCAATGTGTCTAAAAAGCAGGACACAGAAAACATATCGATATAAGAAAAAAATATCAGTTCGTTTTATTGGAAGTTGAATAAGTAATTTTTAACATAAATATTTGGACAGGAGTTCTTGCAAACAATTTACTGGGATCAATAAAACACGAGTTCCTTTAACCACTAAAAGTAATGGCGGCAATGCCATTGTATGTAAAATTCCAACCGGAACTTTGTTACCATTATTTCCTTGAGTGAAATCAATACACCTTATTTTAAGAAATAATTTAATAAAAAGCATTAGATTGTCGAATTAAAAATCTAAGCGAAAACGTGTGACACGTTCTCACTAATAACATGATAGTTTGTTATCAATATAATTAAAATTATAAATTTTAGCAGAATTTTCTCAGAATTCCACAGCATTTTCGTAAATGTTTTATTTCGTGCACCCTCTAAACAGTGCAGTAAATAAACCAGAGGCGTGATAAATTGGTTACGACATATAAAATTAAAACACTTTTGATTTCACAGGTTTTATTTGAAATTTAAGTTATATTCTACACATGGCATTAAGCTATATAATTTAGAGTCAAAGATGAAGATATGTTTATAAGGATTTTTCTGATAAACGAATATGTCACTTATTATTATATGTAAACACTTATTAATGTTAGAATAAATGAGATCTGAAAGGCATAATAATGAGCGGTATAATTACTTCATTTTCCGTGCTTTCTTTTGATAAAATAGTACCTTTTTTGGATGCTATCAATTAAACAGTATTATCGCATTTAACGCAAATAAAATAAAAATGTTATATAAACTAAGCAATTAGATTGATTTCGCACTTTAATTATCACATGCTTAGGAAGTCAAAGAAAAAAATAACTTGAATATTTTTGCACGTTTATGCTTTCCATATTGATGTCATTTACGCATTGATTGTTAATATTGTTAAAAGACTCAGATTCTAACATCAATAAGGGTAAAATGTTAAAACGAATAATTAACTAAAATGACTTAGATGTCTCTGAGTTTTACACAATCACAATCCCTTTACTCTTTATATTTTTCCCCAATCCAATCTATTCTTAACATCATAATTAGAGTTGGCACATGGAAACATTGCTGTTAAAAAATACCCAATTGTTCCTTCATTTGTCCTGATAATTTGATAAACATCTGAAACTAACAAATGTTCATGCTTATTCTTATGTTTTTGAGGACAATTGATGTAATACTTCTGTTCTATGTTACATTTCAATAGATTTATGCACACTTTTTCATTGTTATATTTTCACTCGTGTTTTGTTATTTTATATACGGTAGAAAATTAAATAAACTACTTACGCAATACGAAATTGAGACCAATATGTCGAAAATATTATGGTAATAGAAAATTCTTCTCAAATTTATTCATTCCAAAACGAACCCACTGAATTACCAAAATGGTAGTTTATATCCTAAAGTACGTAGATATTTTACACGATACTTTGATATGAATAACTTCACCGCAAAATGTTTGTACAATATTTTTATCTACAATTTTAGTTTTACAAATGTTAGCTACAAACCCTTCATCTCACGTAAAATGCTGCCTGAATCAGAAGTAAACAAAATGTAGCTGATATGCTGAATAGTAGGTTGCAACAATCATTGTGCATCATAGCTGCTGGATTCTCTTCTGAAATAACAAAATATGTGTATTAGAAATTAATCGCCTAAAACTGATTTATATTTCGGGTGTTAAAGCACGCAAATGTAGACTTGTGCTAAACAACTTTTTAGTTTGGACTAATAGACGAGTCAGGTGGCTGATGGTTATATATTGGAAAGAAAATGTTAGCAAAAGTTCATATGGCTCCGTTCGATCGCAACCTCACTCAAACCATTCCAAAAAGGGATTAAATTACAAACATTTGAATTGCATGTGCTGGTCAGACTCAATCATCTAATTTTTGTTGTGTGTTGCTGTTCCATTTAATACCCGCATTTGTTGGTTCAGCAAACAACATTTGCTGTACCCAATTTGTGCCAATTTTAAACAGCATAGCTAGATGTACAAAATGTATTATATTGCTATAGTTGGCGTAATTAATTTCATGTGATAGAGGTGTCCAAAAAATACTGTTTTCTTTTGTTCATGCTAGAGCAATAATTTGTAATATTGTTAATATAACGGTATTAATACGGTAAAGACACTTGACTGCTCTTAAAATCTGTTGTTAATATAACGGTATTAATACGGTAAAGACACTTGACTGCTCTTAAAATCTGTAAAGACATATTTTTTCAATGAAAAATAGAAAATATTTCGAAATGGGTAAACTGAAACTAAAAAATGAACTAAAACCAGTAAATATGCTAATGAGGTATCTGACGTACTGGGGGTAACCGTCAATAAGTAAAAATTTATCGGAATATCTTTTGCAAAACATTTTTTGTAAAATATCAAGATGAAATCGTCTAGATTGAAATTTAATGAGCCCACCTACTATTCAAACGGCGTTCTTCTGGGTAATTGGGTAGAAGAAAAAGTGAGTAGGTATAAGAAAAGCCAATACAACCATATGACGATATATGGACAAGATTATGAACCAAAACGGAGCAATACAAAGGAAACTAGTGACATGCGCAACGACTCGCGTATTAAATCGGAGTTTGGAGATAATATTTCGCCACCAAGAATCACGGATGAAAATCCAAATTATTTTGACAATTTTTCCACAACCTACGATCTTTCATATCAATACTTTCCAGGATGGTTGCATGGAACTTTAAACAGAAAAATGAGGTTTGTTTGAAAGAAGCTTTTCTAGTTCTCCCGAGTATTGTCAGCACATGCTCAAACACACCGTGTTCCAGATTCAAATTACTCAAATTTGAGCCAACCGAAGAATATTTAAATGGTTTTGGAAATATTTCGTCCAGAAACTATTTGCGACAAGACAAAAGAGAGGAATGGGAATGCGATATATTGGATCCTAGAAGACCAGTACATTCAATAGCAAAATTAGACTTTATAGAATATGCGCCTGAAGAATATAAACAGTCTAGATGGCCGAGATTAAGCCCAGCTAAAGTTAAGTGTGGCACAGTTACCGAATCATTGTACAAACCACTTCCACTCAACCATCCTCGAACTTTAGCAGCTAAAGTAAATCCCATTACTTGGATAGGAGTTGATGATGATCATTACACAAGCGGTAAATGTGTTTGCGCGAAGTGATATGTAAAGAGTAACCATGTAGTATTTTTTTAAATAAATTTGAATTGAAGCGAAGGTGATCCAAACTTGCCGCCCAAGGTCTAATATGGCAAAACGGTAACTGATTACTAAATTCCGAACCTTGGCTCTCAAATGTAATGCCCTTAGGTACACTTTCAACGAAAAGTGAAAAGATAGTTACAGCACTGAAAGGATTATTTACATCGTTCCATTTGTTCAAAACATCACTTGAACAAAAATTTAAGAGAACATCACCTGAGCTCTGAGAAGTTTGTCAAATTCTATCATTTTGGGGTCCAAATGGTTTATAAATAAAATCCAAAACTTGGCAAATTTTTAATCAGGCGCAGCCAACATCGTTTAAATAAGTAGGACTCAAACACACACGCAATTGCTTTACTTAAAAAATTGAAGCATTTGACTTAAAGCGTCAGCAGCAATTTGCTGCACAAAATATCCAAATTCTTTGCCCTCGTTCAAACATCAGTCAAACATGTAAGCGAATGATGCAAACATGTTCGTCATTTATATCTTTTGAAAAGAAAAACCTTTAGAAGGAATAGTATAAAGATTAAGGTCAGTGGTATTTTCTTCAACTTTCAAGCATACATAAAAAGCTTGTTAAAAGTTTCAACCTTCCCGTAGGGAAGGATGGCAAATCAGAGATAAAAAGTCCCGAATACGAGTAACTGCGTTAGTATTGACAAACTTTCCAACTCTCAGCAAAAGTTAATGTTACAAAATCGAGTAATGTAGAACCTGAATTATCTCCGTAGCTACGATAAATTGAATTGCTGCCGCAGTCGTCAGCATTCTAAGAGAATGTGGGTTTATACAAGAAAATTCCCTGACAAATTTAATTGATGGAATTTAAGATAGCAGAAACGATTAAAAGAACGTTGAATATTGAGCTGTGATTTATTTTTTAAGTTTCTGTCTTTAAAGCTCTGTTATAACAAGACACTCGGCCATTTTCATACGAAACTTTGACCAGACAGTGCAATCACTAATTTCGAGGACTATTCCTAGAATTTAGCTGCAAAAAGTTTTAATTTCTATGATAATCCAAAGTCAATTTCTCGAAATTTTGCAAAAGCATCGTTCGAAGTGCATCAGAAATGTGAAATCAATTTACATAACAAATTCGCAATATACATTTACAATGAAATGTGACATGAATTCTATGAAACGTATAAAGTACAACACAGGCATTTTCATAAGGGATGCAAAATTATGCTTAGAACAATCGTAGTTTTATATGTATCTTAATCTGGTAGCCAAAATTGTTGCCAGTATTTTGATTAAAAATGTTGTTATTCCAATTCGAATTGTAATTCAAGAGAAAATTTTTATATATTTGTTGAACGTGATAAATATCGAAACAGCAAAAAAGCAAAAAAAAAACATTTTAATTGCAACTCAATGTTAAAGTTTACAGGTCAAATGGTACTGAAATGTGAAAAGCTAATTGAAACCGTAAATACCACATCAATGACTACAATAATAGAAAGAATAGGATATCAAATACCTTCAAAAGAGTTCGATGTAACCGGACGTAAATCTTTCAAGCAAACTTCTAAGAGTTTCTAAAGATGAAACTATTATTTAAATAATTTAGGTATAGGACTTTTCAATTGAGAAAATGTGCCGAAAAGATAAATAACATTTGTACAAAAAATACATTTCTCCAAGAAGCTTTATAGTGGGCGGAATATTATGTTTATTGAAATGTAAAAGTAGATTTATTTTAATAAAAATATCTGAAATAAGAGGTCACGAGTGCTGTATAATTAGGAAGATTTAAATTGTAAGAAAATACTCTTGCTGCTGAATTAGACTCCTTTTCAAACGAAATTTTCAATGAAAACTAGGTATGCATCATTTTCCAAAGAAGTTTCTAACTTCCCTGTAATGCTTATCAAACTCTCAAGAAACTCTCTGCTTTATGAAGTATTCGTTACAGCACGCCACATTTGTGCCACGGATCCACCCGGATACGTTCACAAAGTTGCATAGAAAAGGATCTTTACTTTGACGATAGGGAATCTCGATATGACCAAATAAAAATGCGTCTAATATGGCTGCAGTATAATTACGAAGGCTTTGCGATTTGTCGCAACTAACAACTAAATTATGTATTTTTCAGAATGAAATTATTGATAATAATGCTGATTTAATCACTAATGTTTATACTCTTTTTGTAGCTTTAAAATAATTGCTTTATATGTTTATCGTACAAATTAAATTATACATTTTCACAGATAACAGAATAAAAAAAATAAACCATTACAGCAAATTACTGATATGAATAATATACGCTCGGAGTTACTAAATATTTGTAGCTATTAACTTTTGTAGTTTGTCCAGAACCCATAGGTCACTAAATCTTGGAAACATTGATATTAGAGAACATTGAGTTTTTTTAAATGTCCATTATCATAGTTTTATGAAAAGACGCTATATGATGGAAGAAAATATAATTAATTTAATGCTGGAAATTACTAATGTAAGATGATTGATGGTAAGGTATTAAGACTCTGTATGAAAGGAGTTCTTCACTTCACTCAAAGTTTCTGAGTTTCTCTCTATAACTGATAGCATCGAAATAAATTTATCTCGGTGGTGTCCATATAACCTAGATAGTGGTAAGAAAATAAACCTAAAATTAACAGGGTTAGTTTTATACTTGAATAATATCGGTTCCCAATTAATATCAGGAAAATACCTCTCGCTTGATGCGCACGTTGAAACCAAAATACAGTAGCAAAAAAGGTCCGGAAAAAAACAGTCCAACAAAATTTACTGAAGTTGGTGAAAATTGCTTGAAATAAGTTGACAAAGTTAATATTAAATAAACACTTGTGCTGACTTCAAATTATTAAATATTTTTATTCGAAAGAAGTGATTTTAACATAAAATCTTAGCACTGAAACCATTTATCAAACTGGAAATATTCTTCACACATAAACAAATAATTACTGATATGTATCCTCTAATAATGGAAACTTTTTTTGGGGTTCGACAATACCCATTTGTTATTGAAAATTAGTTTTACATCCTATTAGAAAGCCAGTTGCTAACTGGCTTGGATGCTTATCAAAATAATGCAAAACTTTTCGCATTTATACAATATACAGTTACCAGCATTTCTGAAAGGCATCCGTACCGGCAGCTTCTAAAAGTTACATACACGAGAAAGTTTACTGTACACAATGAAATTTGCTGCGAGCAAATAAAAACAAGAACAATTAGAAGCACGAAATGTAAAATATAGAGTTCCTCTTGACCAATCAGATATAACTCATATCCTGTATTATCCTGTATTCATCACAATGCTAGGAACATATTACAGTTCCTTATGAATGCAGACAGGCAAGCGAGTTATAGATAAGCAATGTAAATTGATTATTTCTTAATATAATAGTTATCTGAATGGATGCAAAAAGTTTCCGTGGCACTTCCATGGGTCTAAAATACCACGTAAAGTTTTAAGGAGTATTTTGCTTTAAATTATGCCCAAGCTGGAGTGTTGGAGACATTAAAATAATTAACGCTTACTTTCAGAATTATTAAGAAAACATAATAGAGCTCGGGTCAAATATACATTTGCCTAATAACCTCTATCTTAATCAGCAAATCCCGTTGCTTAAGGGCCATCATAGAAAACCCCATTCAACTTCGTTCCCAGTTTAGAAAGTAATGAAAAGCAATGGCCAAAACCATTTAACGAAAATACATTAAAGTGAATGCATTTTCAACGCTTTTCTATTGAAAGCAATTTGCGAATGTTTATGACCTTGTTTGCTTCATTGGTTTCCTGTTCGATCTATACGAATTCGTTAAGCAACTCTAAAATTATGCTTAATCCAATGGCTTGTAAACCTCAACGTAAATGACTATATTATCTTCATGGAGAATAAAGCAAGCAAAAAAATGGTTGCTACAAATTCGCTTAGCACAGCGACAAAAGTTTTATGTAATTCAACGACACGCTAATTTCATATCTGGCACTTAAATATTTATTATAAGCTTCAAAGAATAACCAGACTTTGACGAATAAAAGTAATTTCATGAAATTTATTTTGACGAGTTGCCATATAGAGATCTGCTTTTAATCCGGTACCGGAGTCTTTCAGTAAGTACTTGAATTGATCATGAATTTCAATACGTGCGAGTTTTATGCACTTTCTCTTGACAAAATATGTGGCCAAATTAGCCATTATTAAGAACTCGGTCAGTGATAATATTAAACTGGTCATTCATACATCAGTGAGAGCTAATTTAGCTTTTTAACTTATGTAAACAATAAATTATGGGCACAATCATAAAAGATAAACCAACCTGTTTATCAGTGCAGTTTGGTCCAGCCACACCAGGAAAGTCTCTAAAATGAAAATTTGGTCATCTTTGCCCGATGCCTTTACTTTAATTTGAGTTAAACAGTAATATTGAAACGAAGATTATTAAGTTTGCAACCTTCTCAGTGAGACTCTGTAATACATTTTTGAATTAATGTAACATGCGATGTGTATTCGAATTGAAATAGAGATATGGATATCACTGTTTTGGCTCTTTGAACGCTCTAACTTGAATAGCAAAATTTTAAAATTACTGTTTTTTCACAGTTTATTAGAATGACAATAAAACAAAAACAATTCAAAAAAATAACAATTCCATCATAAAGCGTACCTAATTAAAGTTAAGAGAAAAAGACTATGTTGAACACGGCAACTAGACGAAGTCTAAAATAATAAAACCAGCATGGCGTATTGCTGCAGGTTTCTAAAAGTTTTAGTGGCATGCGGGTTGAAGCAGAATGGAAATGTCTCCAAATTATTGCTTTCAAGGTGGCCAACAAAAAGTATCATTCATTTTCATTTTAATAAACAAGCACAGTCAAAGTCGTCCTGCGATCATACCAAGAAAATATGACGGTTTTTTAGAAATTTTAGCGCACTTATGTTCGTATGCTTTGGAACTTTCTTCGCATAAAACAGCTAACTTTTTAAAGTGCTTCTATCCACTAATAACGGCGTTTTCTTATTGACCTAGCG